GCAAAGAGGAGTTCTTATTAAGATACTTTAATTTTAATACTAAGATTAATTTGCCCAGATTACTTAGAAACTCAGTGAACTACATTAATCAGAACATCTAGACGTTAAAACCAATATAAATAAACATTAGTGAGTCAGGTCAGTGTCATGCTCGCCGTCAACCAGGAATAACGAACGGTTTCCTGTGCCTGCTATATTTAGAACAACTAATTTAACAAGGAAACTCAGAGTTAGTGAGCATTGAGGAATATTTTAAATATTTACTTTACTTTACTTTAAATATTTTCATTGTTTTTTTTTTTCGTGCATATTAGGACACTTTAAAATGGAATTTTAGATTTAAATTGAGCGGAGCTTGGACTATGCGTTCTAGAACATGACAGAAACATTCATTTTATGTTTTTTTTAAATGCTGCATACTTTACATATAAAAAACTTGACAAAACCGCACATCTGTACTATTTGTCAAGTTTTATTCCGCCGAATTATTCCGTTGATAAACTACCTAGTTAATTCTTTTTTCCGATCTGGGCATTCTCAGCCTGTACTAAAATGCATAATATGTTAAATTAGGTTCAGGGCAGTGTTGAAAATGTAAAAGAAAAAAGTTAAGTCGCTTATCAATAAAAAATTAAAATTTGTATGCCTATGGGTACCTATTTAAAAAATATATATTACACCTTTTTTTTTTTTCCGTGCGGAAATCCCCTCGGATACCACCTGTCGGTGGCATGTCGGACTCGAACCGACTAAAACCTAAAACCTAAAACCTAACCTAACGGGGAACCAGGTATACCCTAGAAAGGAAGTCCCTGGTACAATATATATTACAGTTAATATTAATTTTACCTCCGTTGACAAATAAATATTTATATTTCTATGACGTTCTTATATTGACACAAAGTTCCTAATGTAATTGTCTCCGACCTAACATAAATTACTCAGTTAGTTTCAGAATTTACTTAGCATCGTAAATCGTAACTAAATGTAGGTATGTTGGTGCCTTTCAATAAAAAATGCATGGTTGACGTTTTACTGAGGATGGTTTTTTACTCTATATTTTTTCTACACTTTCTTGCACCTTTTTTGCTATTCTTATCTTATCACTTCTTTATTATTCGTCTTCAATAAGGAAAATAACGGACTTAGGAGTTGCCGCGTCTGTGCACAATATACACCGCGCAAATGTACCAAAGACAATCCCCCGTTCTAAGTTTTAACAAACGCTTTACATTTTACTTTTGGTTAACTATAACAAAATGTAGTAGCAACTATAATGAAATATAATCGTGAATCCAAATCACAGCGGAGATTGGCTCTACAAACTCATATAGGTAACTAATATGATGTTTCAAATTTAAAGTTTGTAATGTGACGCAATCGATCACTCTGATAACATGGATGTCTCGTATTGCTGGTGTCGATGTCGTAATAAACAGGAATAGATCAAAACAACTATGAGCTTAATGGCAGTAATATCTCTCTATTGATCCTGTGTAGTGTTGGTTACTGTTGCTAGGACGAATTACACTCATGATTGACAAAATTAAATTAATTTGCTTACTATTTGACAAAATAGAGATTGTTGCTTTTGTGTGTGTGTTCATCTATGACTTTAGAGTCACATTACAAGACAATTTCAAACAATTTAAAAAAAAATATGAAAGAAAGAGAGTTTGAGTTTAAGGAGTATTTACTCCAGAAACTTCTTTTTTTCGCTTCAAATACAGATTTGCTCCTTGATGTTCTACTTTTAAATAACAAACATAAACGTATTTTGCGTATAATTAATTAATGTATGTTTCTGTTTAATGAGTTCTTTGCTTATGGTTCTTCTCTTTGAAGAATGAGAAAGAATAGTAAAATTATTTAGGAATTGAAAAAAACTTTATATTTTGGTGAGCAGTTATTAGGTAGGCACTTATTCATTTGTTGGGTGTACTCTATCTATAGTACATATGTATTTATTTCGAATTATAGAAGTATGTTTATCTATAGTCTGTTTGGTTACCGAAGAACTAGCTTCGCCTCATTTGGGATCAGACGGCCGTGTGTGAAATGTGTCAGGTTATTGTAAGTATATTCTTGAAAGTTAAATTAAATACTTGTTTGACGTGTTTTATGTACTGTTTTGTCGTTCATCTCACCATCGTGAAATTTTGCATATACCAAGATGTTTTCACCATTGGTTAGAGGAATTCATTGGAAACTTCTAGGTGTATCATTTATAAAAGTTATGGTTGAATTTACTTATATATGACGACGATTGTTTTTTAAGCGTGAGAGGAGAGCCGTGCCATGGCACATATCGACTAGGGCTATACCACGCCATAACAGTTAACCAGTGTTAAGAAATATTTAAATTTCCCTCTGTAAGAGAGGTTACAGAAGATTCTCTACCGTTTAGTTTCTTCGTTAAGTTTTTCTACCGTTATTTTTATCGTAAGTTAACGTGCGTATTTTCTAAAACTCATATGTATTTTGTAACCTTAGTACAAGAGAGATTAATATCTAGAAAAATCTATACGAAGACTCCTACGTGTTACGTTCCAAATTATCCTTATCCAAGTAAACCTTTCCATCCGATCCTTAGGGAGACGAGAGGCTACTAAATATAAATCGAATATATTCTGACACGATTTAACTTATCTAATAATTCGATAGAAACCAATATATCGGTCCTATTCACGTCACGTAGGTAACGCCATGTGAGATGAACACGGAATACTAAGTGAGTCTTAAAAAAACTTGTGTGTTTGATTGTCTGTATTGTAAGCAGCTGCCGAATTTATTTATTCTTGAGTTTAATTCGTTTTATTGAAGTAGGCATTGAGAATAGTTCGGTTCTATTCTGTTTTGTTTCTATTTGTGTGAGACTGGTTGACCTGTTAGTCTAATAGTTATAATAATAATAATAATAATATTGTACCACATTCACACAACGCCATCTAGTCCCAAACTAAGCAGAGCTTGTACTATGGGTACTAGATAACTGATATAAATACATATATACATTTTTTTTTGTAAATACATACTTATTATACATAGAAACACCCAGACCAAATCAAACATTAAATGTTCATGCACACAAATGTTTGACTTGAGCGGGAATCGAACCCGCGACCTTAGGAATAGCAGTCCGTTACACAAACCACTACGCCATTTGGTGGTCGGTTGAGTTAACTCCCACCCAGGAGAAATATTGTTATTTATTATTTTATCTTATGTCTTAAAAAAAGACCTGTCCCACAAATCTCTGCATCATCCAAAGGTTGATTCGGAGAGAATGCCTGTGGCAAAAAGTTAACCTATATCTGGTTAAATTTATTTACTGTTAATTACTTTTCTATTAGGTATAAAATAGTTCTGGTAGTAACGAAACGGACAAGTCGTATGTTTTACTAGGGTGTAGAGTTTGTAAAGATAGGGTTGGTAGAGTTAAGGCGTGTAGAGTTAGAAGCTTTTCTCTACAATATGAGAACTGATATATATGGTCCCGTTTTGGAAACATTTTAAATGAAAATGATTTTGGTGGGATATTGTATTTGCAGGAAGTGCAATAAAATATAATTAAGTGACGTCATTTTACGCACTCAAAACACGGGGCCCTCAATTTTCATACAGATTGTATTGCTAGCGTCATATTCCTACATCTGTAACAGACTATTTTCTGTCTTCCCCTTCGTTATTTCAAGGGATTACCATTTTGCTTGTTTCGACTTCATTTCACGAAAAAGAAGTGATATTGAAATTGAGAAATAAAGAAAAAAGGAAAATAATTCAATGGTGCTTAATACGGAGGAACCAGGAATCTAGATTTTTTAAATTTTATATGAGTTCTGGGTTATTTTAAAATTATGCATTCCGTGTAGTGACGGATTAAGAATACGGAATGTCACTACCCCAATTCATCCCGTGGGTGTCGTAAGAGCCGACTAAGGGCGCAAAACAACGCAGGTCACCAGCACTGCAAAAAGAAGGAAAACTTGACACAAACCCTATACCAACCCGTCTGGCCAGCGTGGTGTAGTAGGCCAAAACCTCCTTTCTAAGGAGAGGCCTATTTCCAGCAGTGGACTATTAAAGGCTGATGATGATGATGATGATGATGATGATGCATTCATTGATATTTTGGACCCAACAGCTCCTATTTGTTTATATTATTCTAAACTCATCATCATCAGCCTATCGCAGTCCATTTTGTCCATCGATTTTGACATGGCCTGTAGGCGTCCTACACTCCGTTCATAAACTCATAAAAATATTAAACACCAAGAAGTCCCTACCCAAGTAACTGATCGAGGAAACGGGTCAGCTGAAGTCTGTGCTCAATCTCGATCTCACCCACTGGCTTCTGCTCGATCGATCGATCCTCTACTAAATAATAATTCTCTGTCAGGAAAATCTACATATTGTTTACACACACACAGGCAATATTATGTCTAAAAGGAGTGCTCCAACAATTTTTGTAATTTGATTAGGTTGAGTTAATAGAAATTGATTCCTTTATATCTATACTAATATTATAAATGCGCAAGTGTGTCTGTCTGTCTGTCACCTCTTCACGCTTAAACCGCTGAATCAATTTAGATTAAAATTATTAAAGAGATAGTTTGTGTCACGGGAAAGGACATAGGATAGTTTTTATCCCAGAAATTATCCTTTGAAAGGGTGAAAAGGAGGGTGGAAGTTTGTATGGGGAATCAATAACCGCTGAACCGATTTGGATGAAATTAAGTATGAAGATAGTTTGATTCTTGAGAAACGACATAGGCTACGGCTATTTACCGCAATAAACAACATACGAGCGGGCAGAGCCGCGGGCAAAAGCTAGTGTTTATATATTTAATAATATAATAATATAAAATAATATATAGTATAGTAGACTATCTAAGTCTGAATCTATTTCTGTGCCCATATAGATCTGTTAAGCCTTCTTGGCGTGAACATCCATCTATCCAAAATTTTGCCTTTATAATAGTAGTAAGATAACAAAATGAATGATCAATTTACATCTCTCCCAAAAATCTAAGAGAACTTATTTTCCACAGCGCCGCCTTACCCAAAAATACAGCATCGCAGTCGGAGTCCCAACCCTGGTCATCCGTGGCCGTCACGTCCGGGACCAGCTTCTTGATGACGCCTTGGGAGAGAAGTTTCCCTGGCCTGCGCCTCCCCTACACGAAGTTTTAAGAGGCGTGCAACTGCAAGGCGATGGAGACAGCAGACTATATGAAGAATTGCCAGCTGATGCTGTCAGAGTGTTCTATTTTGCTGCTCATTGGGTGAGTATGAATTATTACTGGAATAACAATTTTTGCGCAGAGAGTACAGAGATTGGACTTTTTCATTTAATTTATTGGCCGGAATGATACATCGGCCTCACAGAAAATCTATGTTAAGCAGTTGAGAAGCAGTGAAGTTACCGGAGGGACCCCAATAATTCTGATTGGGGCACTGAAAAGTCGGCAAAGCATTGCTGACTCTTGAATTGCAGGAGTCCAGGCTTAGCGGTTTATAGTTACCATCAGGTGAACCGTCTGCCGTGCACTCTATCTCGTCCTTATTATAATTCAAAAATCATAGTACCTTGTTTTTTTTTTTGCAAAAAAGAATAAGTTATTGCTTTAATTAATTCCTTTGTCGTAGTGTCCTCCCTGCCGGTCGTTCTCTCCGAGCCTCTGCGCTGCGCTTGCAGCGGTTCGCAAACGCCGCGCTAAGTACTCCAACACGCAGCTTATACTCGTCTCTAGTGACAGGTAAGATCACCGCGATTCTGGCCTCCTATCTAGACTTACGGTATCCCCTTATCATAGCTCTCTTTACATATCCATTCCCCTAAACTACTTCCTTCTATGTCCCGTCTACAAATGATTACATTCCTTAGTTGGCGTGAGACAGAGAGCTTTAGTGTATTCCTTTTTTCCTATCTTCGACTTCATTGCACATGGTTAATAGTTTAAGCATCGAATTTCGACCTCTGGACGACCACTTTGTATGATAAGTAGGTATATATCTAATGTATAATGTTTGCCAGCTGTTTATAGCAAGATACATATGTCATATGAAGAATTAGCCAAGAACAATGCGAGCGGCGTCCGGCGGCGGATTAGCCCAATTGAGATCTGTAGACGACTCTCGTCAAACGATAGGTACATATTTACTTAAATGTACTTTGTCCGAGTCTTTCATTATTTATGACGACCGGATGGCGTAGTGGTTTGTGTAACGGACTGCTATTCCAAAGGTCGCGGGTTCGATTCCCGCTCAAGTTAAACATTTGTGTGCATGAACATTTGATGTTTGATTTGGTCTGTGTGTTTCTATATATAATGTGTATGAAAAAAAAAGTATACATGTATTTATATCAGTTGTCTAGTACCCATAGTACAAGCTCCGCTTAGTTTGGGACTAGATGGCGTTGTGTGTATGTGGTAGAATATTATATTATTATTATATATTATTATTATATTTTTACGTACATTTATACATTTACGACTATAAGTCATCCCGCAGTCGTATGTATGTCGTAACCGCCTGCTTGTTTGTCAATATCATTAAAAAGAAACCTGAATAAGAATTAAACTTATGTTTCTTAATTTTAGGTCTATATTTAAATTTTATTGAAATTATTGTTTCATACTATCTTTTATAACAAACAAATCTGCCGATTCCAGTCAATAATAGCGAATAAAAAATCATTTTACAGACAATTTTATTAACATCAACCACAGCTTTTACCAGTCCACTGCTAGACATAGGCCTCTCCTTAGAAAGGCGGTTTTAGTCTACTATACCACGCTGGCTAGACGGTTTGGTGTAGGCTTTGTTTCAAGTTTTCCTTCTCTTTGCAGTGTGTTTCCTGCAGAGTTTGTTACGACACCCACGGGATGACACACCGTATTCTTAATCCGTCGCCACACGGACAATTTTAACAAACAGATCAAAATATGACATCCGGCAGAACATGTCTAGACATTCTGCAATCAATATTTCATATAGAATTATTCATATCTATCTACAGAGATCTACTACTTTAACTCAATAATACAGAATATTGACATTTATCATTGCTATATCAGTTATTTAACTGGACTTGTGCAAAAGTCCAAACAATAATAGTTCAATTTTTACTGGACAACGAAATAAAACTGCACATTCAGAAATTCTAATAAGAATAATATAAATCTAAAGGCTAATGCTATATTTCTTTATAATTTTAGTAGGAGTTCAACTGCACGGATGGCGTAGTGGTTTAAGCGGTCGCCACGCCGTTTCCTATTACGCCGAGTGTTGTGGGTTCAAACCCCACATGGGACAACACTTTGTGTGATCCACAAATTGTTGTTCTGAGTCTGGGTGTACTTTGTGTCCGTTTCATGTATGTTTGTAAAGTCCCTCGCGACACAGGATTTATTCCTAGTGCGGGAGTTGTATCTTTTATAAAAAGAAAAAAAATAATATAAAACTACTGTTACTTTTTGTCCAATGCCTTTAAAGAAAAAACAAAAGATAATTTCAGCGAAATGGATTCCATATTTTAAAACAAATAAGACCGTTTACATGCTGAATAATAAACACTCCTCGCGAATACTTACTTGCGACTTAGACGTAGCTAGGGTTGTCAGAATCTTGGCAGATATAATAATATAATTTAAAAGATGACGCTGAAATATTGGAACACGTAATTGTCACGATTAGAAAAATAAAAAATCCGGACAAGTGCGAGTCGGACTCACCCACTGAGGGTTCTGTACAGTAGTACATATTATAACTAGTTCAGGAATCGAGTCTAGCAGTTTTTTCGAGCTTTTCAAGAAATTCAGTTCAAAAACCTATGATTACTAAAATTTTTGTGTTTTATTAGTGAAACTGTACCTCGATAATTGATTAAGTACTTTAAATAAAGACTATTTTTTTTAATAATTTAATTAGGTACAAATGTATAGTTTCAGATTTTTTCCTGTACTTGTGGTACAGGACAATGTTACTTGCCAAATTTCATAGTTCTAGGTCAACGGGAAAAAGTACACTACCAATTTTCAGAGTGTTGAATAATGCTTTTTTGCGACAAAAGCGGCCGTATCTTTTATTATGTTGACTTGGAAGTTTAATTTTTTCACAGCTTTAAGAGACTGTAGTCTTGAGTATATTGTTTTAATTTCAACTCGATAGCTCCACGCGCCTTATAAAGGGTCTTGACAGATAGACTAGACGACAAAGTGTTCCTATAAGGGTTCCGTTTCTTCCTTTTGGGGTACGGCACCCTAACAATTTATTTGTATAACGTCTGATTTGAAGTGAAATAAAGTAGAAGAGGATTTAATTTTAATAAATTATTTATTTTAAGTATTAATTAATATATGTATGGTTGAGCCAATGCTCAACCATACACACAACATTTTCACAACTGTCTGAACGTCCTTTACTTTCCTGACTCCCAGCAAACTTAAATGTGTGTGTAACACGTTCTTTTGTTGCGTCTGCGTGTAATTTATCTTTAATATGTATGTATTTAGTAATTTATAAGTAGGTTTGTCAGTAGTCTGGTGATGTGTCAAGTTATTATAACGAAACCAATCTATATTCGTCAAAATATTATAATATTTGCACTCTTATATAGCTTTGGCAGATTCTTTTCAAATCGTCAATGTCTATAGGTGAATAGGTTTCTCTTCATAAGCCGTGGATTGTCTTGTTGGGGAGTTAGGGACAAAACAAAGTCACTACTGTAATTGCCAAACTCATCGTTATAATAAAATAATAATAAATGTAAGTGAGAATTGCCGTAGTCGCATTTTATGTGGAATATCTGACATCAATTGTCAAATGAAATAGTGCACACTTCCCCGACATCCTGTTACATACTACCGTCCCGTTTCACGAAATTATTTCAGCTAATTGCAGGAAAGAGAGAAAAAAAATCGTACACCTCAAAAACATTAATCAAAATTGAAATCTGTAAAATTGCAAATGTTGTAACATAGTCGACCCTGCTCGGTACAAGACAGTTTCGTTACAACAAATTGAATTCATTTCCTGAAAGCTCCCGGTGCGCGGCGAGTAGGCGATCGATCCACACTTTTTGTGCAAACTTGTATCAAACGCGTCGCAAATTGATTAAGTTACCAACTTTAGTGAAGGTTCAAGTTTTATTACTTTTTTTGCGAAATGCAGCAAAAGGATTTCCGCTTCATATATTATATAGTATTACAAAAAGTTGTGTAGGTGTGTAGCCGATAAATAAAATTAATATGGCTTGTGAAAAAATAAAACTAAAAACAAATTTATGAAACTAGCGACCGTTAAATTCAACTGGCCTGTTGGTCTAGTGGTTAGTGACCCTGACTGCTACGCCAGAGGTCGTGAGTTCGATTCCCACCCAGGACAAATAATTGTGTGATGAATACGGTCATTTGTTCTGTGTCTGGGTACTTTATCTATAATATGTATGTATTTAAATATATATAAGTATGTTTATCAGCAGTCTGGTTACCATAGTACAGGCTCTGCCTAGTTTGGGATCAGACGAGCGTGTGTGAGATGTGTGAAAATATTAAATTAAAAAATTGCCTTGTTTTATTTCAGCGACCACTATAACTTAATCTGCCATTGTGTGACTTTTACACCTTGATCAGTCAGAATATACACTGGACAGTCATAGTTTTATGTAGACATTTGTACACAGGGAATTTTCAAATTTATATGCAACATATTATTTAAAAAAAATAGCTTACTTCACTTTTTATACATATAAATATTAAGAATTTCAAATATGACATGCTCCCATTCGCCATGTTTGGATAAATGTTCTTTATAATACGCTTTACAACAAATAAATAAATCTAACGAAAAAAAGACATAAGCGAACAAATAACCAAGTACGAGTCAGACTAATCTTGATGACAAAATATATAAGTTACATCGAGTTTTAACAAAACATCAATTCGCCGTCAACGTTAGTAATACGTCTACTAAATTTACAACCAGAACTGTACCCACCTTTTGGGCACTATTCAGAAACTTCCAAACTAACAACTTACCTTAGAACAAACTACTCGTAAGTGCACTGTCGCCAACAAACTTGGACAGGTTTGTTACTTACCGTAGTTCCCACATACACATCCAATTTGGTATATCTTAATTCCTTTTAACGTAATAAATTCACAGGTCAAAATTGCAGTATACGACCCACAGAAAACCAGCGTTAGCATTTCCTTCGTAGCTTGTCACCGAGTGAGTGTACCCAGAGCTCAAACCCTAGGACAGAGAATTAGTATTGCCTTTCAACATTGCAATGCTGCCAACCTTCTGGCAACGATGCTAAATAACTTTTTGAGCCATTAATGTAAATAAAAATAAAATAATAAACTCAGACATCTCACACATAGCCGTCTGATCCCAAACTAGGCAGAGCCTGTACTGTGATAACTGACAAATATATTTTTAAATATATGCATATTACAGATAAATTACACCCAGACACAATAAACGATCGTACTCATCACACAATTATTTGTCCCTGGGTGGGAATCGAACCCGGCACTATAGCACTCAGGGTCATTAACTACCAGACTAACAGGTCCGTCACCTCGACCAAATCGACCTCGTCTACCAAACAGTCCATAAGTCTTATTAAATAAATTAAATATTAATTAGTTAACTATTATTCTCAAGTCAAAATAGTATAAACATCGAATAAGAAGTTCCTGATCGAATTTCCACCACCTAAATCAAATTATCGAGTCTCAGTGATAAA